GAAATGGTCTGTAAATCCAAAACAAAAGAGATTTTCTTTTATCAGCTGTTTCCTGTTGTCAAAGAATAAATTATTGCTTTAACTGTGTATTTTTTAGCACACTGTGCATAGAAACGTGGTAAATTATTTAACTTTTTGAGCAGAATTGAATTTTATTACATGTATTAAAATAATCCTGGTGTTAAAATATCCTCTATGTCGATTTGTCCCTATTGCACTAAAAAAAAAAAAAAAAAAAAAAAAATCAGTAGCTTAGCAGGTTAGGCCAAAAAATGCTTTAAATTATCGTAATTTAATGGCACCTGCCTTATTCCACTGAGCCTGTTCTGCTCCGCTGCTGGAAGCATGTGGAGAGGCTGGTGCAGATGTAGGGTGACCCCAGGTTCCCGGAAATCCCTGTCTGCTTTGCTGCGGCTCCCGATCTCCTGACTCCTGCAGCATCGGTCACCCACCGCTCCAGAGGGTGAGCTAAGAAGCTGAAAATAACCTCTTTTCTGATAATGCAGGGCTCCGCTCATAAAGGCAGCATTCTGGCATCCCAGATAAGATGGACACAGCCTCCTCTGGTTATGTTTTCAGGCTCCCAAGCCTTTCTCTGCCAGGCAGAAGGGCTCATGCAGTGCTTTTCCTTATGTGCGGGTGCTGCTGAAAATGCCTTTTCCAGGAGGTGCTATTGGTGGGGACTGATGGGTCTGATAAAATTGGTCAGGGTTGGGGGTTACTTTGCTCAGTGCAGCACTGACAGGCATGACCAGGGCTATGTTATAGAGCACTTCAGAGATTCAGGGGGTGAGCAGTCCCCTGGTGAAGGCAGGGGTGTTTCCAAGCTGTGGCCCAAAGCCTGCTGTGGGTACAGAGCGATGGAAAGCATCTTCTGTTGCCCCAGCTGAAGGTGCAGGTTTTATGGCATTTGGGTGAGAATGGGGGTGAGCTGTGAGAAAATAGTCTCCTAAAAGTGTGGGAACCATGGGCTTGCTGGGTTGATAATCTCTAGCCTAGGGAGGCAAACGTGATCTCTGACATGTGATAATCATGCTAGCTGACAGGCATTAAGATATATTCAGCTTGGTTGAATTGCTGGCTGTAGACACATCATGAGTGGGCCCTGGCTTCTGGAGCACTCGCAGAGGTGTATTTTGTAGGCAGAGCACCGTGCTCCCCTTTGGCACCTGTATTTGTATTTATATGAAACGATGATACTTGTGCATAGATACCCCATCAAATATCACCAGCGGGGCAGGGGTGCTTCTCTGAGTCCTGGCTGGCTCATTTCTGAGTGAAAAGAAGTACAGAGCCTGGTTATATGGGCATATAATAAGTATGGGAATAAGTATAATGAGCAGGGAAAACAATGGGCAACCAAGGTTAGCCAATGCCTTCCTTCAGTAACCATGTCAGTCCTGCGCCCTGGGATTAGGTACTCTGCCTTCAGAAATAGTGTTAATTAGGAAACACTTGGGAAAGTGGAATTTCCTGCTACTTTGGCAGCTCCTCCTCTTGCTGTGAGAGCCTCCTCGCTTTGCCTGGCATGCCAAAAGTGGACACTAGCAAAGCCTGTCCCCTCCATTGTACCTTTATGGGGGAAAAACCCTGGAAGATGTGCTGTAGTGCTCTCTGGGGAAGCCTGCTGCAGCCAAGTGAAACATGTCTCACCTGTGCTGCTTCAGAACTCATCTCTCTCAGGTCGGAAACTGCCATGGCATCATCATACAGTCAAAGTGTTGCAGAATATTCTGGACAAGATGAAGGTGCTTTAATGTCTGCTGACACTTGGTTTTTAGCTGAGGGATTTAGCATGAGTTTGCATACATGATGTTAAATTCTAGTGTAAATAAGGCATAGATATGAGCTGATAACCACATTCTAGGATAAAATATGGCTAGAAACACTGGTTGCTTTAAGATTTGATAATCATGTAGTCTAGCAAGCATGAACTAGGACATAGTCAACCTGCTTGAAGTATTAGCAGCAGACATATCTTGAACAGACACATACTTTTGGAATATTTACAAGGCAGTAAACTATTTCTGTGGAGCAACATACTCTTGGTCATAAAAACAATCCGCCCAAATCTGATTCTTTAGGATGTGCTATCCTCTGATTTCCCTCAGAACAGCCTAAGAAAACAAGGTAAGCAGCAAGGTTATCTGAAATACAGGTGTCCCATTTTAACTCAAAATATGTTATCAGAGGTCTCACTTCATAGAGGAGAGGAGCTTACCACACAGCTGAACAGTCTGCCAGGACTCCCATTAACTGTGTGAGAAGCTTCCTTACCTCAAGCAATGGCCCATCCAAGGGTATTTGTTTGAAATTTCAGCAGGCCTGGAAGCTTCAAGCCCACCTAAAGCTGTGCTTGAGGTGAAAGGGTCTGTTTAATTCTGCTTTGTTGGTCACTGGAACACCAGTGTTCACAGTGCGTCGCCACTGTTTTGTGAAGATCAGGACAGGTACTTAGCAAGATGATGGACACCAATGCTGTGTTTATGTGGGCTGGAATAACAGTGTGCATGGCTCTGGTGTCATTAAATAAGCAGACCTAGAGAAGTTAAGCAGCATTTTACTTCTGAGTTTGTTCCACATGTTTTTGGCTCAGAAGGGCTCCTATTTCTTTCTACTTGTATCAATGTATGAGCACCAAGAGGAGATGAGTCTGAATGCTTTGCTGGGTCTGGGCCTGCAATACGTGTTAAATGTGTATCTTGGATATTTTTGCTTTTGTCTTTGATTTTCATTTCTTTCCCTTGGGATTTCCTTGGAAATGGGATCTCCTCAAATCCTGCGTGTCCTGTGCTTGGGAGGGAAGGTTTTTACAGATGCTGCCTTCAGTGGGAACAGCTGGGGAAGGACTCGGCAATTCCCCCCCACCTCCTTGCAACGAAGTTGATCTGACCAGCAAAAATGAATGAGAGTCCCCATGTCTTCAGGAAAATCACCATTATTTTTTTTTAACCAAAAGGTGAGTCTGTTGATTCCCATGACTCACATAGGCACCACCAGACTGCAAGCTTGTAATCCCAGTGCTTCTTGCAGTAGATGTATATACAGGAAGGCTCTTCGTAGGTACTGTGCATCAGTATGAAGGGGAACAGGTGTTTTTACTAGATCAGCTAAAGAAAAAATGTTTTTCTCCTTCTTCCCTAACTCAGCTATGACCCTTTGTTTCTTCTCCCACCTGTGCCTGAAATCCCCATGTCTTATCACAAGCCAAAAGGGAGTCCCTTTATAAACTTTGAAAACGTTATCTTAAGCTTTTTTCCAGGAGGCATGTCATCAAATGCATTGACCCATAAAAAGCTTCTGGGGGAGCAGAATGCCGAAGGTGGGACTGAGTCTTGACTTGAGATATTAGACACTTATTGTTCATATTTATCACTTCACAGCACAGAGAGAAAATGTTAAGTAAAATTTTTTATTTTTTAATAAGAAAATGTCCATTCTTTCTAGTCCTGAATCTAATAATATAACATCAGCTGCTTGTTCTTGGCAGTTCTTTCCTGAAACAACATATTTATAGCTCTGCAACCTCTTAAAAAATAGTGGGCCAAACAAGTTATTGAATCAGCCCGAGTGCTGTGTTTTATCTGGGGATACTTTTGGTTAAATGAGAACGCACCAGGATTTGTGGTTCCCCCAAGGACTGAGACACCAGGGAGGCAGTCTGCTCAGGACTGTGCAGACTGGGAGGGAGAGCTCAGGAGACTTGTAAAAACGGAAAACATGAGCTAGAATCTCTCTCCTTCCCTCTTGAGCCATGTTTTCATTTCAAAAATGGTACTATCCTTTCTCAACTGGGTGTTTTAGAGTCTGGTTTGAAACAATTATGATCATTCACATGAAGCACTTTATTTCATATTTAAGACTGTGTGGCAATAGCGATTGAGAATTCATGTCTCCCAGGCATGGGGTAAATGAGTGCAAATAAAACATCTCACCACTGCTGTTCAAAGATCTGGTCATTTATTTTATTTATTAGAGTGTCATGTTATTTTTTAGAGTGGCTTCATCTTGTGAGGTTACTGCGTGCAAAATTCAGGAAGGCTTTTGTTGCAGGGCTAGGATCAGCCCCAACACTGCAGTGAACTTGTGGATCAGCTGCCACAAAATACTTCTACTTAGCCCAAGTATATGTGCTATTGGCAGCACGTAAAGAATTGGTCTCTAGACTCCATTCTGAGCAAGGCTGACAAATGAACAGATTCTCCTTGAGTGTTAAATACTAATAAAAAAGAAGAGAAATAAATATTTCAGCCCATCTCAGGTATCATATGCAAAAATTGATACACCAGGAAAAACCCTAAAGTCTCAATTCCTGAGCTGTATTGGAGAGCTAACTGAAAAGCCTTGCAAGCTTGTTGTATTTTTTTCCTGCTAGGCTGGCTGTATGCCACAGGTGGTACAAGGCAGGGTGACCTGAATGCTTGGTCCAAAGAGCTGATGTTACCTGGTACTGAGGTGTGCAGGCTGGAGGGTCCCATCTCTGCAGCGTGGATGTGCTGCACACCTGCGGCCCTCTGCACTGAACACCTGCACAGGGAAAGGGCAGACCCCTGGCACTGCTCCTTTCCCCCTTTCCCTATCCACACCCCGGTACTCCTGGGAACATCGTCCCCAGCAGTGCTCCCTCCTTCCTGGGCTGTGACAGCTGGGAGCAAGCAAGGCAGGGACTCTGGCTCTCTCATAGAAAATGTTTTCCTTTGTTTCCTTCCCTTCTGTAAGGGGGGATCTTTTCAGCCTAATCCACCTCTGCAAAAGGTTGCTGTTGAAACCGTAGGGGTAAAACAAAAAGATGATGTGTTAGCTCTGGGGCCAAAAATAGGTATTTGGTAACAGCCGCTCCAAGGCGCAAAGAAATGCTCCACTGACAAACCTTCTCTTTCTCTCCACTGTATTTACTGACCAGCCAAAATTTCATGGCTATTAAACATGGACACTTGTAAAAAGAAAAGGTCAGCTCACCTAGTGCTTTCTACAAGCCAGCTTGATTTCTTGATGACATCAGAAGAGAAGGCTGCTAGATGGAAGCTTCTTTCAGCATAGAGACAACAGGACTGGAGGGGTGAGGTCTTTTCGGCCATTGGTGATTTTTGTCAGTAGATGTATTTCTTGTCTCTCAGTCCCTTGCTGTGGCTTTTTATTTTTAGTCTGGATGTTGGCTATTGGCAATCATGATTGCAGTCTCTCGGAGCACTGCTTCGGGTGACATTCATCTGGAGAATGTTGAAACATAGGGGAAATAATTATACTCAGCAGCTGCAAGACATTTTTCACCCCAAAGAACACAGAAAAAAGCCAGCACAACTTTGAACCATTAGAGTTCAGCTGAGGATAGGAGCCAATCCTTTCATCAAGCTAGCACAAATCCCACAAGCAGACAGATCTGTGCAGTGTGGCGAGTTCTGAGTAGAGTTAGTCTTGATCTGCTATCTCAACAGCGGATTTGGACTGGGATCAGCTCCCTGCTCCTGACAGCGGGCCAGGTGTGCCTCCCCTGCCAAACTGCCCTCTGCGGCTGGAGCAGCACCGTGGCCTCGCAAAGCCATGGTGGCTCTCCTGGCCTCCTAGACTGGACCCAGCACAGGTGGGAGCTCCGACATCCGCCTCAAGGAACAGGAGTAGTGAAGCTGCAGTTGTGCCTGAAATTTTCTTCACTCTGTTTCCATCAGTGTGGGCACTGATGGTAGGGAAGGGAGCTGGCTTGAGCTGCTCATGAGTCTCCTCACATCAGGAGTGTTCCTTCCTTGCAAATCGGATGTTATTCCTCTGCTCTTGCAGAGTCACAGATAGCCCACTGTGGTTCAAGATGAGCAGGGTAAGCTCTGTGTTGAGACTGAGGGATACCACCCAAATGTCCACTTAAACCAGGTTTTGAACTTAGCACTGGAAAAAAATTTAGTTCAGAAATGACCTTCTTGTCCAGTCCGCTGCTCAAAGCAGGGCTGACTTCAAAGTGAGAGCAGGTCTGAATGGTCTGTGTTGGGACAAAAAGGCTGCTGCACGCCTGCCTGTGAGCCATGGAGGGCAAGGCCTGGCTGGCCCACCTCTGCCACAAACAGACTGCTGAATGACAGAAATAGGATGTTCTCGGATTCACCTTTGGGAAATACTTATTAATTTGGATACCACAGAGACTAGAAATAGACTTTGCCAGGGCCTTTCCTGGCTCTTGCATTATCATGGTCCCCTTTGCCTGGCTACCATCCAAATCATACCCACCAAAGCTTTGTTGTTGCTATTCAGATTAAAGCCAGATAATGAAGGACCAAGCTACCCAATCGATCTACCATGTGTCCCTGTTCTGCTGGGAATGTTGAGACCTGCAGAGCTAGATCCGGGGCCACGCACTCCGTGAAAAGGAACCTTGATGGAACCTGAGATGGCTGCAGCCCTCTCAGCATACTTGGGGGTTTAGAAGTCAAGTCAGTATTAAAAGATGCACGTAACTTAAATGCTTCTCTCCCCACCCCTCCTTGCAGTTTAGGGATGTGTATAGCTAGCTAGTTAGTCAGCTATCCATCCAGCCATCCTAGGCTGTTATTTTTCACAAAGACCCAGACGTATGTATTTATACACAGACATACATACATGTGTCAGCATTTTTTGTAACCTAGCATTTATGGTATGCAAGACACCTCCCAAAGCTAAATCTGACATAATAAATCATCCGTACATTCATAAACATTCATGGTATATGTTAGAATATGCATAAAGGCTTTTGCTAATTCTGCTGTTGAAAGCAAAGTTCAGTCTAGATTAGTCTGTTCGCACTATTTTGCACTCACCTGTGGGTGATTGTGCTGCAAATGCTTTTCTCCGAACGGCTGTAGGAGTCTTTCTCAGCTGTAGGAGTCTTTCTCACTCTTTGGTATCACCTGCAGGAGAACTTGGACTGCTGGGGTGAATGGGGGGAATCGCAGACGAAGGCACGGAAGCTTTACTGGCACTCAGACAATCTCATCTCTGTCTCCCCTAAAGCAATCAGGTCCCAGTTTGAGCTAAAGCATAGCCATGCAAGCAAGCACAGGTTCAAAGTGCAAATAAATACGTGCTTGAGGGCTCCCTGTGGGGATGGAAGGTGAGCAAAAACAAAGGTAGAGACATGGTAAACATACCCAGACTGTCTGGAAGGAAGAACAGGTTTGCATAGGACGGGGAGCTGGGAGAACACATCACCATTCTGTTTTCTGAACTCTGGCACGTCATCTGAGTTTCCATCTTTGTTACAGACAAAAAGCACATACCAAATAGAGATGGGAGGGAGGTTTATGTATTTAATATTTGCTAAGTATCTGCACTTAGACATAGCCTAATTCAGTCATCTCCGAGGCTTTCACGGAGGTGCAGGAGGAAGATTGTGTTAATGTCAGTGAATGAGAAACTATCACTTTCGCATCAAATCTAGATTCTTCCTAATGTGTTGTTTGTATGTGTATACACACACACACACACACACACACACTCTAATGTATATATATCTGGTCTCCTAACAGCAGGCACATGGCATCAAAAGGACAATGAACAAACTGGAAAGGGGAATGTTGTTGCTGCAGATAAACTAAGGCTTCCATGGTGTGAGGGTGGATATTTTTGGTTTTCCCAGATGTAGGTCCATTCAAAAAAGCACAAAACAAGAATACTCATTTGACATGAACAAGTTTTTTTCTATAGAGACGGATGGGTCTTGTTATACAATTCCTCTTTGAAATAGAGGCTCCAGTGTGAGGACATTTTAGGACCCCAGGTCCTTTGAGAGGCAGAGAGAGAGTTCCTGATCAGACCAGCAAGGACTCCCTGTTGCATTCAAACTGTGAAAAGCAAAGTGAGTGAAGTTTTGCTTTGCTTGACTGAGCTTTATCATATCAGTTATTGTTTTGAAAAGTGACGAGATACCCACTACATCTCCTGGGAAAGTGAGAAGTGGCTTGCTTTGGAAGAGATGGTTATTATCGCAAAGTTTTCAACTAGCTCTCTATTTTTGGCTTTATGTATTCGTGTCTGCTTGAATTTCCCCTGCAATAACAGCTTTGTGATTAAATGACTAGAATAAATGATTTCAGAGCATCTGGGGATAGGCAGAACCGTAATTATTCATTTTTCGATAGGTAGTGAGGTAGGTATTGATTTATATAAGTTATTAAATGCTTTGGAGCAGGGGAATGAAATATCATTAGTATTTTAAAACGGGAATTATTGCCACCTTGTTTTCTACTTTTAAACACCTGTGAAGAGAATACTACTTTGCTAATGTTAGACCATTTGAATGCTTTGAATTATTTAGGGATCTTCAGTATAGGCTGATGCAAGTGTAAAAGCTTGCCTGTGATAAGTCAAATTTGTTAAAAAAACCTACATGTTCTTTCTTACGGTCCTTTATTGTTAGTCACCTATGGTACTTGCCTAAAGGAAATACAGCCAAGCAGAGAGTTCAATTAAGAAATCTATCTATCTGTCTACCTACCTATATATCTGTTTGCCTCTCTCTCTCCTACTCTGTGGATGATATTACAATTGCTAGACATTACATTTTTATAATCTTTATTTCAAGCTAGGCTCTCATAAGCATCCTATTTCAGGCGAAATATGTCATTATCCCTGTTACAGTAGAGCACTAGCTTTATAAAGGCAAGGACGAGAAAATTCAGTTAATACGTGAGTGAGTTCCTGTGGAGCAGAAGCAATGAAGCCCAGGGAGGGACTCAGCCATGTGGGTTTCTGATGCCTAATAACAGCCAAGCTCTTGTAGTCAGTTCTTCAGCAGAGAAGCGAAGAGGGTCTCTCTTCTCTACTTAGTCCTTTATTTTCACAAAACCCGTAGGGATGAGATATTTCTGAAACTTCACCCCTCTGTCAATGTGCCTGAAAACAAAAAGCTTCAAGACTTACCAGAAGAGACTAATGGATGGGTGCTCAGGCAGGCTGTGTGAGCCTAATTTTTATAGGAAAGTGGCCTAAAAATGAATCAATAATCCCTGAACCTTGTGTGCAAAAGCAACCATAACATACCCTAGAGGCAGAGGAGGAAGAGGGCTTATGTGGCATGCACTTACCCCTTCCCATGTTATCCCATCTCATCCCATCCCATCTCATCCCCAAAACACATCAGCACATGGCCTCTGGCGTCCCCAAGGACCCATAGGAGAGGCAGGAGGCAAAGCCATGGATCTCCCGCTTGTCTTTCTTTCATTGCAGAGTCCTCCCTGCTCACTCAATGGCCTCAGCAACCCCTTTCTCATCCTCCTCCAGCTGTTCCCCTCAGGATCATTTGATTCCAAAATTACCGGTAATTCCTCCTGGCAGGGGTTCTTCCCCTTTGCTTTCTTTTTTTAAGGTTTCCTTATCTTTTCCAGATCTTCCACAGAGTGGCTATGGTTCACCACAGAGTTTGCTTTGTTGGCAGCCTTTTGCAATGCTTTATCTTTTTTGCTGCTGCAAAACAAAATGCTTCTCATACTTGTGTCCTCTGGTGATGGGTATGTTTCAAATACATCGCTGACACCTTCGGAGGTGTAACAGGAGACATTTCTCTCCACATGGCATATTAGCGTTGACAGATAGGGGCTGTAACTGCCTAACAACATGAGCGTGCCAGAGCTTTCCTCCCGGACAGCATTAATGTTAAGTAAGGCTTCTTTTCATCCCTTTTAGCTTTCTCTTCAGGCCTCCAATTAGGATGGCTTAAAACTTTTTTTTTTTGGCAGAAAGCGGGCTATCTAATACACGCAAGTCTCAAAACCCCAAATGTTTGCTTTCTATACACTGCAAATATTCATTGTTTCTCAAGGGAGAAAGAAAACTAGGGTCAGAGCTAATAAGATGAAGTGAGTGCTTCCCAGTCAGGAATAAGAATATCTGCACAGCTTAAGTAACAGTTTTAAGGCCTGATCTGTGCTTCTATTCCCACCAGTTTTATCAAATCAGTGCTAACATATCTTGAGACAAACACTGCTGCTCATGTTGAAAGCTGGTGTATTTTCATATAGTGCAAGGTACTGCCCAAACAACCCGACCATCAGACTTGCAGCCCAAGTTATATTTTGCCAGCCCAGTTGCTGTAACCAACTCGGACCACAGTAAATGCCAGACAAAAAGCATATCCTTAAACCTCTTCCATTAACATGCTTTGTTTTGAGAGCAGCAGCCATGCCTCTGTGCCCTGGAGGAACTGAAGCATGAGAACCCCAACCATAAGTCAGGTCCCAACCATCCTAAACTAACCAGTGTAAGCTAAATAGGAAACATACAGCCCTTTGCACAATTTTAAATAAATCTGCTTAAAACCACACCCTTGGGGACTTTCTATGTGAGAAATCTGCTTTTGCAGCCCATGTGTGAAATGATGGGGTAGTTTTTCCTGAGCTAAATAGGGTCCAGCTGTAGTGGGGACAGAGAATAAAAACCACACAGCACTTTAGGCCACCTCTCACAGGTACATGGTTTAGAGTCAGACAAAGTAGCTGCTGGAGGTATCTCTCCCTGCTGAGGGAGCTTAGGTGATTTCTTCAAGTCTCTATTTCTTTGTCTAAAGATTGCATCACACAACCAGGGAGCCATACCCAGTGCTGCATGGGAATACAGGCACTAAATATTGAATGACCAAATACTCAAGATAACATGACTGTGAGCAACTCATGAAGAAAACATGAACTCACGAACGTTCATGAAAACTGAAGTTGGCAATTACAAACCAAGAAATTAAAGGCAATCATGTGTTGATCATAGATCAGTTCTAATGGTATTGTAGAGCTACAACAAGGCAGAAATTTGCTTGCTTCTTCAAACTCCTAAGTACAATCTTAATGTTATTTTTCCACCAATTCAGAAAGAGATACCATGACACCATCAGTTTCTCTAACGTGTTAGCATACCTTAGGATGTATGGGCCTAGATGACTCCTGAAAATTTTCAGAAGATTTGTCTCAATTTTATCTCAAGACCTAACACATACGCACCGAAAATTCTGGCAAAAAGTGAAAACAAATTGCAGTAAAAATATTCTCTCTAGGAATAAAGAGCAAAAGTATTTTGGAATTCTGTTCAAAATGCTCTTAGTGCTGCACATCAGCCTTTCAGAAGAAAGATGTCCATAAACATTTCCATGGAAGTTCATTTATTTCAAAACTCATGGTAGTATGTAATTCTCCTTCCAATTTAATGTGGGTGAATATAGAACTACTTTGAATCACTGTGTAATATTTGATATATAATCTCTCTATCTACCTAGTAAACACATTCTCTGGAAACATGAATAACTTCTATATCTACACTGCACACTACGTCTGTGTGTATGTTTCAGTTCAAACTTTTCCATCTTAATGTTACTTTTTGTTTGCAAGTCAGCAATATGGATGTTTTGCATTTTTTATCTTTTCCCTTATTTTAAAGATAAGTCAACAGAAAAAAAAGACAGCTCCCTTAACGTATAGTACAGCTCCATCTCTGATCCAAGTTCATTAATAAAAAATAAAGATTTGTGATTATTTCAGGTGAGTGCCTAACAATACCTCGTATGTGCTACTTTTGAACATAATTAAGAATACATTTCTCACATCTTGTTTCTTAAAGATGCAAATAGAGTTCACTTTCTCCCCTCCCCAAGATGTTCTAGAATATACCTTCTTTACATAGGCTTTCACATTTTTTCCACTGTCTTACATTCCTATGACCTATTTAGGTCACAGGAATAGGAATACTTTCTGGAGAGTATTTACTCTCCAGAAAGGCACTATGTCTAAGGTCAATGAAACAGGAAAATGAAACCCTGAGAGCAGCCACAGAAACTGCCTTTACACTCACCACCTCTTCCAGCAGCAATGGTTAAGTTTAGCAGCAATCTATTATTAAACAGACCAGGATACTTCAGTCTAGAGAGAGATGACTGGGGCCAAGGTGGTCTGCAGCACTGTGCTATAAAACCGCAAATGTCTGGAGAAGGTATAAACAGAAGGATTATTTACTATTCTTGACAGTGAAAATGGGATACTCAGTGAATTAATCAAGGAGTAGATTTAAAAGAAATCGAAAGAATTCACCAGCAGAGTCTTATATCAGGAAGTCATCACCACAGAATATTTAGATGGCAAAGGTATAAACGGGTTCAAAAGTTTATTGCATAAATTTGGGGTGTAAGATTGATTAAACATGATAAACATAAATACAATCATGAATGTCAGGGGGAAGATGAACAAAGAATGACTATTTACTATTTCTTAGAGTTTTACTTGATGCCCAGTAGCTCAGGGGTTTTTTTGGTTGGCTGGGCAGAAAATTTCTAACAAACTCTCATAGTTTAAACCCAGTAGTCAGCTAAACACCACACAGCCTCTTGCTCACTCACCCCCCACAGTAGGATGGGGAAAAGAATCAGAAAAAAAAAAAAAGTAGAATTCAAGGGTTAAGATAAAGACAGTTTAATATGAGAGAAAAGGAAGGGGCAACAATAATAGTGTAACAACAGCAACAACAACAACAACAACAAATTATGCACAATGCAATTGCTCACCATCCGCTGACAGATGCCCAGCCCATTCCTGAGCAGTGGCCACCAGCCAGCCTTCCCCCTGGTAGATATGCTGAGCGTGACGTCATGTGATATGGAATATCCCTTTGGCCAGTCGGGCTCAGCTGTCCCAGCTGTGTCTCCTCCCAGATTCCTGGGTACCCCCAGCCTACTCGCTGGTGGGGTGGGGTGAGAAGCTGAAAAGTCCTTGACTTAGTGTAAACACTGCTTGGCAACAACTAAAACATCAGTGTGTTACCAACGGTACTCTCACTCTAAATCCAAAACACAGCACAATACCAGCTACTAGGAAGAAAATTCACTCTATCCCAGCTAAAACCAGGACACAAACACATGTTTAAGTTGTGGAGCTGATTGCTAGAGGATGCCAGGAAGGCCAAAAGCAAAATGCTATCAAAAAGTGATTGGACAGATTGAGATCAGAAAAGACTCTTGAGAGATGTTAAATACAACAATACGAAGACATCCTTCAGCTCAGCTTGTCAGAATCTGGAAGCCTATGCCAGAGGAAGGATGAATCTGAATTTGCCCTTTCCTTGCTGGTTTCCTGAAGCATCTGCTCTTGCTGGCTGCCAGAGACAGGTTTCTGGGCGATTTGGTCTGACCCCGCTGGACGTTTTGTAGGTTTGTATCCAAATGATCAGTAGTAAAGTGGCATTTGGATCATCCTCAAAACTGAAGTGATGCTGAAGGGCAGGGAAACAACGGAGGTAGTTTACAATCCTCCTGCAGCCACGGCTTGTTTGCGGGCTCAGAGGGATGACAGCACATCTCTGTGTGTGTTAGAAGCATAATGGATCTGGTCACTGAACTCCACAGAAATCTGGTCACCTGGTTTTGGGTCTTTTAACTGAAAGTTTTAGCTGCAAGAATTATACAAAGGTGGTGATTGTTGCTACAGCTGGGTTAAACCTTTGTGGAAAAGAGAGTTTAGAAGCATCTTTCATTTAAAATGGCTGTAAGAGGCATTAAGCATGTGTCATCATCCTCCCCCCTGCTCCCCACAAAAGGCAGGCTGGGTGTTTTTTAGGAATTCAGCTGCTCTGCACTACAATGCCTGGGCTGAATGTTGTTTTAGAGGTGTGGTGAGCATGTTTGTTGCTGTAGGAAAAAAAAAAAAAAAAAAGCTAAAGTGTAGAGGGAATAACAGAGCTCACAGAAGCAGAATAAAGTTTGAACAGAGTCAGGATTATGTGGTTTTGGCAGAATACTGGCGTCAGTTTTGGGTTGGGGTGATGACCAGAGGACATTTGGAGTGAAGGGTAGGGGAACTGACCTCTTTTTTGTCATTGTTCCTCCTGTGCTTAAAGAAGCAGGATTTTGTACAGCCTTCCAAGTAAACAGAATTGCAGCAGAGATACCTGATTGCATCACCCATTTCTCCTTACTGGAATAAGCTAGAAGAGTTTGAATTTTCATTAACCACTCAGCCTAGAGGGATAATAAGGCATTTTACAGAAACCAGAGAGACAGGCAAGGTGGCCCAATTCTGTTTGCAGTGTGATGCACGGTGTTTCCGCTGATTGCGAGGAGATTTGACTTTTTTTTTTTTTTTTTTTTTTTTTTTTTTCTGCCTGAGTTTCCAGTGGTGAAAGGGAGATGTTCAGGATGGCATTGAGCTGCACTGAAAAATATTCCTTGATTTGCAAGTGGGCTCTGTGAAACGGCATCCATGCATTTTTCAAGAGGACCCTCACAACTGTAAATCAGCCTTGAGTCAGTTTTAAAGTGTGTCAGGCAAAGTCCTAATTTGTGTTATTTTATGTACTGTTCTGTCCCTGGATCTTCCAAATTCTGTGCTCCTGAGTCTGTCTGCAGAACGACTGTGTAGGTTCTGGCTGGGGATGAGGGGAGGAGAGAGGCGACAAGGCTGGTTACCCAGCACAGCAAATCAAATCTCCATACACCCAAGAGCATCTCACAGGGGTTAGAGAAGGGGTGCTTCAAAAAGGTAACCCCTGAAAAGCAGCAGTTCAGGAGCTCTGCTCTGTGAGTCATTTTATTTCTGCAAACAGAAAAGGAAAAAAGCCCTACCTAGCTTTGTAGCTGAGACAGAGTCACTGTCTCTCCCTACTTCTTGGCTTTTCTGTTTTTTTTTTCTTCTAGTATATAATGGGAAAGCATGTTAGGCCCAGAGCTCAGACGTGGGAGGCTGTGAGAGAATGGCAGCTCCAAGACGGTAAGTGGAGGTGACAAGTTCCCAGCAATATTAAACATTAACACCGAATATTTTGTTAGTATTTAACTCCAGGACGTTTCATGTTACTGAGCAGAAACAGAACATCCCCCCTCACCCCCACTATTTAGTTCTTTACTCCTCTGCGCTGTACATTCAGAAGGCAGGGATGTAAGATGCCAGCTCCTTCAGGGTTGAAATGGCTTTATATGAACTAACAGAGAGGGCGAGCTTATGAAGTGGAGACAGGCTCTAATTCTGTACTCTGCTGAGACTGTGACTTGAAGATGGGGAATACTTTGTGCATGAGGTGGGCATGTTTATGTGTGTATATATATATATATGAATGAAGCTGAACACAGGAGAAATCCCGCTCATTTAGAAATCGGACAGCAGCAAGCTGCTGAGGTGGAGAGCTGGAATTTAAAAGCGATCTTTTAAAACGCTTATGTATATTTTGTTGCTGCTGGAAATGTCTCTTTGCACCTCAGGGAGGTTCCTGAACTTCCATTGTTGGGGAGCAGCTGGCCCGGAGGGGCAGATTCATTTCTGCCGCAAGACAAGAGGAGTTTTATCAGGGAAGCAGCTGCCCTGAAGCACCCGCTGCTCTCCATCTCTGCAACCGGAGCGAATGCAATGTCAAGACTGCTCCTCACATCCACCTGGGTGCTCCTTGCATTCTCCAGCCTACCGCTCCGGTCCTGACACAGAGCAGTCATCAAGCCTGCCATGGCTTTCAGCACCCGCTGAACATGCAATTGCGATTGACCGATACATTTCGGGAGTACCCATTACAGTGGCATAATTGCCGCCCTGACTGGGAGCCAGGTTAGACCACAGGGAGAAGCGGTTTCCATCAGCGGCCCTGGAGCGGGGCAAGGGTGTGGTGGGAGCGCTGGGAGCGTGGTACGGGAGCACATCCTGCCTCCGCTCCCGCGGCGAGCATCCCACGCCGCACAGGGCCATGAGAAGCCAGGAGAGGAAACGTTCCCCTTATGTAACAGGAAATGTAAACAAGGGTATATTTACCAACAGCACTGTCTCCAGACACCCAGGCTGTGCTATTCATCTGAGAGAGGCGTCCTGAAGGACCAGCTTGGCTGCTGGTGGGAGCTGCCACGCTTCTGCTGAGCTCAGGCGCTGTTACGCGATAGCATCTGAGGAGCTGGTTCTCACATGTCAAAAGAGAGAGACAGATGCAAATGAACACACCCCTGCAGATCTCCACCCACCGGCCCCCAGACAGCAAGTGGGAAATCAGGATTGCCTGGGGAGGATGGCTTTGCTCACATACCCAAACGCCCCGAGGACCCCTCCCTTGTCCACTCCCCAATCCTGCAAGAGACTACTCTCTCTTCTGTCCACTGATATTTTTCCTCCAGGACCTGCCATCCACTGTCCCCAAGCCCTTTGTATGAGACATATTTCTGCCTGACCAGCAACATTTACAAGGTGCCAACATTGGTGGTCTCTGCTCAGGTTCTGGGGGCAGGAACGTGAGAATCATGAACCAGAGCAAGGTCCAGTTTGATGGACAAGGCTGATTTCTGTTTGACTTTCCATCACATGTAAAAATAGATGCACCTGAGTTTGCACCAGCCTTTAAGTCAAGAGGTTTCTGAATGCCCACCTCAAAAAGTCAGCTCATTTCCAACTCACAGGCTTCTGTGCATGCAATACATGCCCCTAGGACTTTGTGTGCATTACCTTTAGGCAAAGGGAAGAGCAAAATATCTCCAGCATGCACATCACGAAGACCCCCATGGGTTCAGGCTGTGCAAGAGAAATGCTGCTTATGCCCCTGGGACACACGAGGTGAGGGTGGGGTGAGGGAAATGAAACAGAACCTGCTGGCACGTTGTGCTGTGCAAGATGTGCACATTCCCTGGAAACAAAGGACAGCAGGGCCCGAATTTCCATTTCCTCTGCCCTGACAACTGTGCAGCTCTTAGCTTGGTGAAGCTACCCCCACCCCATTTAGGGGTGTGTTACTGCAATCAGGATCCAGCCTGCTGCAAATCACGTCCTCTCCAACTTGCCTTCTGTGGTCTTTAATTCACCTTTCCTTTTACACTGCTGTAAATCAAGATTAACCCCATTAAGTCAATGGGCATGTACTAGCATAAAAGCAGTGTAAGTGAGAGGTGAACCAGATCCAGTCCCTTTACAGGGATGTTATCTGATTATTTACTACACTGTTAAGTAACAAGTGCTATCTATAGCAAACTTAATAGCAAACAGTAATGTGGTGCTGGTGAGATACGCAGCAATTTACTGTTATTATTTGTACATTTTACAACATTTTAGGAGAACAATTTGTGGGGGTTTTTTAAGTAAGCATGTTTGTTCTCTCTCTTGAATACAAAAGACAATTGTTACCCTGGTTTTTTTTCCTCACAGATTTTGTTTGTCTTTTGGTTCCTTTTGGGGGACGAGAGCTCTGTTCTGAGAGTGAGTTTGTGAGAAGCTGCAGCACAAAAACACTTATGCCTTGAGGGAGTGCTAAGGAGTAGTGATGCCAGGTGATGCCTGTGGCACACTGGGGACAGCAGATACCTTTCCTAGCATACTGTTATTGCAGAGCATCAGTCTCATTCTGCAGTGGCCACAGCCTGAATGAAAAGGGGTGGCCTTGGGGATATTTGGAAAAGATGTAAGGACACAGTAAATGGAGATATACAGCTCAGGTTTCCTTCTTCCTCACACTTACCATGGCCTGTAGCTTCGTGTCTTGCTATGCTTGCAGCAACATGTCTTGGTTCACTGATGGGCAGGGGACAGCATGCCCCAGTCTATGAGAAACAAGAACCAGTGTGTCCCCAAAATGCTCGTGGGAGGTCACCCCATGGTGGGGCAATAGGACAGCCCTGGATAGGTTGAGCCACCATCCTCATTGCCTA